GTTATGTGTCAGGCTGCTAACCACAAGGTGAGCAGTTCTAATCCACCAGTCATTCCAAGGGAGAAAGATGAGGCTGTCTTCTCCCATAAAGATGTAAAGTGTCAGTTCTTCCTCTGCCCTGGTCAGAGTGGACTTGATGGTAGTGCGCTTGGTTGGGAACATGAGGGTATGTATGAACACTGAGACTGGCCCCACTGGTTCTCAGCACAGGACCTGTCCAGGACCCCAGGGCCTGTCCAGTAGCATTGAGCCTGCTCTGTGACACACTCCCACATCACTTATCTTAAGGAGGCCCAGAGAGGTGACCTGCCCGGGGCACAGCACACAGGGTGCTAGGGAAAGAACACAGGTGATTGGATATGTGACAGTCTCAGCCTGGGTGTGCGCTTGGCCATGCTCAGGGCATGTTGAGGTCTCTGAGCTGGGTTTCCTTGTCTGAAAAGTGGATGATCTCTGCACCTGTCAGGTTGCTGGGAGGGTGGATGAACGAGTGGATGGAGACGCTCGGGGGACTGTGCAGACATGCCCTGGCCCCTCCCCCCAGGACCACCCATGCTCACACTGCTCACCAAGCCCGAGAACAGCAAACAGTGGGCCAGAGCCTGAGAAAGGGCCACCTGAGGATGGAGGTGGGACAGGGGCTCTATTATACTTTGCAGTCTACAAGCCATGCCCCTCCCTCCCTTCCCCATGCACCCCTTAACCTTGGCCCTAGGGTGTTTGGGATGTTCCGCCAAGCCAGCGACCGAGAGGCCGTCTATGCCTGCTTCACCTTCTCGCACTGGCTGGTGTATGCCAACAGTGCTGCCAACCCCATCATCTACAACTTCCTCAGTGGTGAGTGGACTGGGTGCCAACCATCTCCCCAGGCCCATCCTGGGTACAAATGAGGGGTGGGGCAGAGGGAGGATAGATCTGCTCCCACCTGGGGACTAAGCTCCTGCTCTAGGGGACCCCCATTCACCAGGCCGACTTGGTGTCCTGGTCTGAGACAGATCACATCCCTATAGGGGTAGCCAGGGACAGCTGCCCAGCAGCCAGGACTCAGCCTTGAAGGTGAGGGGATGCCAGCAGAGGCAGCCCATCTAGACGTGCGCTGGCAGAGTGGCCAGACTCTTGGAGATAGCCCCAGGGTCCACCACCTCAGCACTGGCCCTCTCCTCACACCCGCAGGCCTCCGCTCCCCTCTGCACCCTCTCCTCCCCCCCTCAGGGTAGTAATGCCCCAGCCTGTCCCCCAGACACGGGGCTCAGCAGCTGCATGACTCCCAGCACGCTGCCTTGGGGCTGGGCTTCTAAAGGGAGGGTCCAGAGGACTATTCAGGGCTTGACACAAACAGTCCAGCCTTGACAAAAGGTCAGAAGGCTAGAGAAGTGGCCAGAGTTAATCTCATAACCTGCAACGGGACTCCGCAAAGGCTGGCGGGCTGGCATCCACCTCAGCAGAGATGTCTTCCCAGCAGAGAGAATGCCAGCACGCCCCTTGTGTTGCCTGCTATGTGCTGTGCCTGATGATGGGCACCCAGGAGGCTTGTGGGTAAGGAAATAGGCACAGAGGTGTCAATTTCAGAACAGGGTGGACCCTCCTCTTGAAGGTCAAGGGCTTGGGAACTGGAACCAACTTCTGGTGGGGTGAAGTGAGGATGGAGAACTCCAGCCTGCCAGGGTGATAGCCACCCAGCCCCGTACCTGGCAGTGTGAACACTGTGAGCAGGAGGTGGGGAAGCCCTGAGCTGTCCCACAGACATGCCAAGGAGGGCAGGGGACATGGGAGGCCCTGAGCTAGGAACCGTGTTTGGAGCCAGACTCTGAGCCAAAGCCCGGTCGCAGAATCAGATGAGAATTGCATTTCTCTCTGAGAGCCTGCTCAGAGGCCTCTGCCAACACTTGCTCCGGGGCAGTGAGGTTGCCTTGGGGCGGGTCTCCACCTAGGCTCTGCCACCCTGACCCTCCTCACCAGCAGCTTGATGTTTGCGGGTCCCGAGACACTAGGGCCCGTGTCTCTCCTCACGGCCCTGTCTTCTGTCTCTCAACCAAGGCAAGTTCCGGGAGCAGTTTAAGGCCGCCTTCTCCTGCTGCCTGCCGGGCCTGGGTCCCTGCGGCTCTCCGAAGGCTCCCAGCCCCCGCTCCTCCGCCAGGCACAAGTCCTTGTCCTCACAGAGCCGCTGCTCGGTCTCCAAAGTCTCGGAGCACGTGGTGCTCACCAGCGTCACCACGGTGCTCCCCTGAGAGGAGGCTGGGCTGGGGGCTCTGGCAGGTGTGGCCTCCTCTCTGGGCCCCAGGGGTCTGCCTCCAGCCTGGTGGCAGGGCTAGGTGAGGTGGGGGCCTGCCAGGCTCAGGCCTGACTCTGGGCAGTCACGTCCCTCCTCTGAGCTGCTGCCCCCAGAGCAGGGTTGGTGTGAGGATCCGAGCTCTTTCTCAACCGTGGACATGACTGTCATGGGTTCCTCCCCCGGGGCCAGACCCCACATTATGCTGTACTCATGTCATCTTTCTAGAACTTTGGCCTGCCTACTCCAACCCCATCCCCACCTTCCCTGGAGTCGGGCCCCAAAGCTCCCTCACCCCCAGCCCCGCAGGCATTTCCATCTGGCCAGATGGCTCCCTAGTGCCCCAGTCCCCAGAGCTGCACCAGGACAGCCTCTTCCTGTATAAATGTGGCCCCAGCCCTCTCCTGATCAGCCCTGCCTTAACAGGCCCCCTGGGGGCACCGCACCTCAAACCTCGGCTGCACCCTGTGGGCTTTGAGAGGCTGACAAAACGTTCTCCATGTGGCCATTTGGCGAGGAGGGAGCAGCCCGAAGCAGCTGTCACTAAGAGCCAGGCACTCGCTGCTCCCTTTCCTTGTCGCTACCGGCATCTGAGCTGCTGCGGCTGGGAGCACAGGCAGGCCAGCAGCTGGGGGGAGGGAAAGAGATGAGAAGGCGCCCCAACAGCTTCCTCTGCTGACCACCCACCTGCCTGCCCCTGCCCTGGGACCCCACTGGCCTCAGAGTCTGGCTCCGCTGGGCCCAGGACCTCGAGCCCCCTGGCCTGATGCCCTGCATGGTAAGTTGGGGCTGGGGGAGGGAGGTGAGTAGACAGCGGGGTTACCAACCTGATGACTGTTTTCTTCACCTCTTAGAAGTCAAGGCTTGCATTTATTTCCTGTGAGCTCCCAGGAGAGAGAGAGAGGCGCACTTGGCCGGACGTGCTCTGTCTGCCACCCGCACAATTAGAGGGCTGCTGGAGGCCCAGAGCAGGCCAGCGCTGTCTGCAGAGTGGAGCCAGGCCAGCCTCGGGCACTGCCTGGTCTGCTGTGCTTGATTGCTGGAGCCACGAGCTGCCCCCAACCTCACCTGCTAAGAAGGCGTGGCCAGGGCACTATTCTGCCCAGGGGGCACCCATTCCCACCACATGTGGAGGTGTGGTCTGTGTCACACATTGATCCTTCCCCCCACCCCCTCCAGATGACACAACAGCCCAGCTCCCCTCCCTAGAGGCCACCTGCCATGGCCCTGCCCACTCCGAGTTCCCGTTGGCCTGAGGGCCCAATGCCTCTGTAAAGGCTGTATGTCATCAGACTGAGAGGGGCAGTGTGGGCCTGATGTAGGGCTGGCCTCCAAGCTCAGAAGCAACCATGCCCGCAAGTCCTGGGCTCCTCAGCCCCAGTGTGGCCTCCTTTAAAGAGGGAACTCCCGTGGGTGCTGGGCTCGGAGGCAACCGAAGCACCTACTCATGGCTGCAGTTCTAGATAGTCTGCTGGTTGGACCCAGCACCAGCCGACCATAGGCCTCCACTTTAGGGACTCAGGATCTGAGGCAATTCCGGGGCAGTGGCTAAGTGGCCAAGGGGGACTGAAGCCTTGCTCAGTGAAGAGGTTCTTAAAGGGCCAGCAGATGGGTGGCGGAGCTAGGGGAAGTGTGGGAGCAGTCTCCAGGTGTGATGAGGAACGAGGGGGCTGCAAACAAGTCTGTGGGAAAATGGAATCACAAAGATCAGGGAACTTTCCCACGAGCTCTCTGAAACCCTCCAACATGCTGGGTGGCCTGGGGAGAAAACCAGAGGCAATGGGTGGTAGTTTCAAAGCGGCTGGATTTAGAATCCACACCAGGAAACACAGCTCTGCAGCCACAGGGAAATGGGCTGCCAGGAACGGCACCGAGTTCTCTGTCACTGGTGGGTGGCAAGCAGGGGCTGGACCCCCAGGGTGCCAGGGAGAGCCCAGCTGGGTCTGAGGCTGGTCAAAGGGACCTGGAGCCCCAGTAAGCAGGGCTGCAGCGGTTGCTGAGCCCCAAATACCTGCTGCGCCTCCCCTAGCTGCTCAACAGCCCTGGGTGCCCCCAGCCACTCAGGGGGGCGGGGGGGGGGGCTCAAGCGCTTATCTTCATCTCAGCGAGCCAAAGGATCATCACATCATCCCCAGCAGGCCCCCCAGGCAAACTAGAATGCCTGGGGTCTCAGCTTTTGATGGCAATGATGTCAGCGAGCTCTAGAGACTCCAGGGTAGAAGGGATCTGAAGCTCCAACTGGCAAGGACCTATCTGTGCTTAATAAAGACGAGAGGAAAGTTACAACTTAATCACCGTGCTCTGTCCGAGGTGAAACCGGGGCCTGAGTTAACGAAAAGGGCAGGAAGTGAAAAGTATGGGGTGGTGGCTCATGTGTCTCCACCCTCCTGCCCCTGCAGGGTGGACTGAGCTGAACCTGGCAGGCCAACAGGCCAGCCTGCTGCCCTGTACTTCAACTTCACTCGGGCAAACATGCTCACTGCTGTGGAGTCAGTGTTGCCCCATAGCGCCCCCTGTGGGTTTCCGAGACGGTAATGGTTGACAGGAGTAGAAAGCCCAGTCTCTCCCCCATGTAACTGTTGGTGATTTGGACCTGCCAACCATGCAGCTCAGAGGCCAACGCTAACCACTCACCCCCAGGGCGAACAAGGGCAGCCCTCTTTAGACCAGGATTTGATTCACACCCAGTGGAAGAGGACGTGCAGAAACCAAGAGCAGAGGGTGGGAAAACTTAGACACCACTCCTCCTCGTTCTTTTATTGAAGCTCACACTTTCATTGGACGTTTGGCCCCAGATATAACACAAAACAAACCCTGACAAGTGGATAAACAAAATACCCCCCCACACCTTGGCTGTGGGAGGTGGCAACTGTCAGCCAAGCATGGCAGGCAAGTGGGACTCCAAGATGGGAGCATGGCAGCCTGGCCCAAGTCCCTCCAGGCAGCTGGAAGGTCCCCCCTGGGACGCACCAGGGTGGAGGGGTGAGGGGGCGCAGCACGGGGTGGGGGGCTAAGTGTAAACATGCCGGGGGCAGGCAGCTCTCTCTCAGGCTCGGTCAGATCCCACTTTGCAGACACGGGGCTCAGCAGGGAAGACACACAGGTGAGAGAGTGCACCTGCTGGCAAGGGCTTCCCACTGGTGTCAGGACAGAGGAGGGAGTGCTAGAGTATAGGCAGGGCCCAGCTGACTGGACCCTAAATCCTTGGCCACGGCTGGTGACTCTGGTGCCTGGGGCTGTCAGGACATCCACTGCCTAGTACTTCCCCATGCCTGGCCCCACCTGTTTGGTGGCTCTGATGCAGGAGCCCCCGCCCTCGTGGGAAGCGTGCTGTAGAAGTCCAGGGAGAAGGTTTTGCTAGGAAGGGCAGGAGAAGGGGAGGCCCACATGGCCCTCCCACTCTAAGGGGCCCAGAAAGGGCCACTCTGGAGATGGGCGGGGTCAGAGCATCCGAGAGGCTGTCATGGTGACGAAGTCCTCGAAGCTGAGCCGAATGCTGCCCTGGACGGCGGTGTCTTTCTCCCTGAAGGCTTCGGTCAGCACCTGCAGCTGGGTGCACACCTGGATGAAGCGGTCCAGCTGCATGGAGGGATTGGCAGAGTGCGGGCAGTAGCGGGAGACCAGGAGTTGGCTGAACTGGGGGCTCAGATTGTAGCCCATCTGGGACAGAGCTGTAGAGGAGGGGCACACGAAGTGGACACAGAAACACGTCATGAGCACATCCCCCGAGCACAGTAGGCCAAGGGCCGTGGAGGATGCATACAGGTGCACGCAGAGGACAGAGGCCCCTAGGCTCTGACCACAGTGTCAGGCACACATCAAGGGCTCCATCTTTTCTCCAAATTTCCTTTCTCCAAATTTCCCCTCCCTCCCATCAGTCAGGGGCTCGTGGGGTCCCAGGTGACACTGGTCTCTCCTTGCTCCCTCTGGCTCAGCTGCATCGTGGGGGCAGCCTGAGGCCCCTCCCCTCCGTGCCTACTATGAGACCAGGGGCAGTTCGGCATGGCGGGGTGAGGTTACCCCTGTCCTGCAGTCTAGTCGGGTCTCCTGTAAACACACTGGAGGACTGAGTCAGAGTTACACGAGACGACAGTAGAAAGCACCTGGCACATAAGCAGCCCTCAGCAATGGGACGGTTGGAAATATTCAATCCTCCCGGCTCTCTGCTGCCTGACCTCCTCCCCAGGCTGCTTCTCTACCGATGTGGCCTGCCCAGATTACATCTCAGCCCACACGACTTGTGGGCCTTTGGGCAGGTCCCCCTCGATCATAAGAGGATGATGAGGAATCTCCCTGAGAGACAGGGAGTCAGAAATCATATGGAAATACAAGGTGTTTCCCAAAATGGGCAAGCCCGTTCCCTGGAGTGATCCAGGGGGCTGCAAAAGCAAATGCCTACACTGTAGACTGGATTATAGGCTATACATTTAAGCATGTTTTCCCTAAAAACAGGGCGGTAGGTCAGATAAGTTAGAGAACCGATGATATACCATGAAAAATGTACTTGGAGAGGCTGGCATAGTATGCAATCAATAAACATCGGTTTTAGGGCATTGCTTACTCGGACCCGGCAAAGTGGAGGTCATCAGAAAAGGTCATTTCCTCTCCTTTCAGCCAGGGGTGGATGGACATGGTGGGCTCAGCACCAGCCTGGGGCCCCTCAGTTGGGTGGGAATCCAGCCTGGGCTAGGTGTGGGGTCCCCAGGAAGCTGCAGGCTACTCCCGCCTGAGGAGCCAAGGCTCCCAGTCAGGAGCTCACATTTCTGTCTTACTCAACACTGGCCCGAGCCCAGGCTGCAGGATCCAGTCCCAGACCAGACTCTAAGCCAGAGACGTAGCCTGGGCACATCTGTCCAACAGCAACTGTTTCCAGTGGCCCGGCTCCCAGAGTAGCAAAGGAGCACACCATGTAGCAGAGCCGGAACAAAAGCCCACCTACCCAGGCCCTGTGGCAGGGCTCGGTCCACTCCCCATGGAAACTGGAGAGGAAAGCACCCCACAAGCCACACAGGCTGGCCTCAAGGGACCCGAGGGACCAAGTGTCTGTCCCTAAGGCTCCCTGCTGGCTGGGGTGGTCTCACCTAGCACTCTGAGAGTCACGTCACCTAGGGGTTCAGCCCGAATTCTGAAGCCTGGAGTTTCCTTTCCCTGGATTTTGGCTCAAGCTCACAGCTAGCTCACGTCCCAGCCACTTGGGAGTAGAGACGAGAGACACCCCAGGCCTTGTCTCAAGAGTGGGAGTCTAATCCACTCTGCCCATGTGCGCCGACCATGGCAGCCCTCACCCTGCTGCAGCTCCGAGTAGCTGATGGAGCCTGAGCGGTCGCGGTCATACTGCTGGAAGAGGCTTTTCCACTGCTGGATGAACTTCCACAGGGCTGAGAAACCGTAGATGTCGATGCGGCCCGACTTGGTCTTGTCAAACATATCTGAGGAGAGAGGCGGGGGAGATAGCTTCCCCTACACCTAATATAGACCCTCACCACGTATAGCACCCCTCACCTCAGCCACCCTCCAGCTCCACCCCATCCAGAGCTGTACCCAGAGTTCTCTCTGCATGCTTGTTAACTAGGGACCAAGCCCCTCATCTATCTCAACCATCTCCTTTTGGGCAGGGCGTCCCATTTTGCTGAATGGGAAATGGAGTCTATGGCCCAATACGGCCTAGAACTTGAGAAAAGCCTAAGGGACTCTCACCTTGAGCACAGTTTCTTCTCTGAAACCCTCCCAGTCAAAGGCACCCTGACCTGAGCCAGCCCTCCGGGGGCTCTGCCCCGTCTGGGCCATCATGGTAGGACTGGGACTCACTTATCATCATGAGGCAGGTCTCATCATTGAACGAGGACCAGTTGGAGTTGACCAGCGCCTGCTTCAGCTCCTTGATGGAGATGTAGCCGCTGTGGTCTGCATCCACCGACTGGAACCAGGAGTAGGCCTCAGGATCCACATTGGGTGGAGCCCCACCTGGAGAAGAGGTGCACACCAGGTAGTCAGGCCAGGGCGGAGGGCCAGGGGAGGTGCTCAGAGACACTGGAAGGGCAGGCCTCTCCAGGCCTCCCCACCTCACAAATGCACCTACGACCTGCTTCCTGTGGGGCTCATGTCCTTTCAGCAAATGAGTCTGCTCCCTGAGCAGACAAGTCCTGCTGATTGCTGCTGCTCTTGGAAGTTGCCAACCAATCGATGCCAACTCCTGGCAGCCCCACATGGCAGAGCAGAACTCCGCTCCACTGGGTTTTCAAGGCTGTTTCCTTTCCAAAGCACACTGCCAGGTACCCATTGTCCTTGGACAGCAGCTGTGTCCTCGGGGAGCGGCACCCACAGCCCCCTATGCAGGGGACGCTCTGTAATGTGTGTGGTTTGTGTACACATGACAAGCTCACACTTTGGAATCAAAGCAGCGGATCCTGGCTCTGGTGTTCGCCAGCTCCTGTGACCTTCGGCCCACCCTGTCCTGTCCTGAGTAGCAGGTCCCGTCCTAGAGTGAGCCACGGCCCTGGGCTGTGATGATGATTACAAGACAGACCAGCGAGAGAGAGCTCTGTTGGCCATAAAGTTTCCACAGAGGAGGGGGGCTTCCTTTAGAGCCAGACAAGGGAGGCCCATGGTAAAGGCGGGGTGGAGGGGTGGGGAGGTCTGGGGGGGTGCTCAGAGCCCTCCAGGGAAGGGAGGAGGGGGACAGGGGAGGGGTCTGGAACTGGCCTCTGGGCTCAAATGTCTTAGGCTTGTCCCTGCAGGCAGTGGGGCGCCTTTCGTGGCTTTCAGGCGGGAAGGAAGAAGGGCGAGCCTGTCTCAAACTCTACATCCTGGGTGCCGTGGGCCTGGGCGCAGGCGCCGATGCAGGAGATCCCTCGGTCCCGCCGTAAGCGGGACGGCGCCGAGTGCTACCAGCTGCAGCAGCAGCCAGGTGGGAGGACGCTGTTGTCCAGGGCAAGCAGCCACAGAGGTGACTTCTGCCTCCAGCCCTGGAGGGACAAGCCGCACCGTCGGGGTCCCATCCTCGGCAGTGACCTCCTGTGGTGCAGAAGCCCACCGAGACAGACACTGCTGAGCTGAGAGCAGACAGCCGGAAGCGCTGGGCTCTGATGAGAAAGGCCGCTGGCTTTTGTAAACTCTTCTCTCTTCAAGGCCACTAAAGATCTCAACAACTAGACTCTCCCACCTTCTAAATGCAGTCAAATGCCATCTCCTCACCCAGGCCTGGGCCTGCTCCCTATGGTGGCTTGTACTTCTGCTAACCCCACTTCCCTGTCAGAGCACTACACTCCTTCTCCCCAGGGTGGCTTGCCGAGCCCCCTCCTCGAGGGGCGTATACTCCCACCGTGTGGACGTCAGGTACAGCCAGGGGCGTGCTCTGCACAGGACAGCACTCGAGAGCAGACGCGTCAGGGTGACATGCTCCCTGGCTCTCCTGCCAGCTCTCGTCCTCTCCCCTGTGGGTCCCAGAACAATGCGGCACAGGGAGCAGAAGTGTAGCAGCCGGATGTGCAAGCACTGAGGTCAGGCAAGGGGACTAGGCTTGTAGCACACTGACAGACATCTCCATCTGCTGACTGGCCAGCTAAGGCTGATACCAGGTACCACGGTGGCTGAGGTCAGGCTACCTGCACACCCAGGCAGACCACTGGAGGCTCCGGGTCACTCAGGACCAGGTCAGAGGAGCGCCCAGTCTAAGATGACTACTCACCTGGAGGCGGGCCCTGCCCATAAGGCCTGGGCTGCTGGGCACTGTAGGCGTTTGGAGGCGGCTGACCATAGGGGCTCCCCGGGGCCGCACCGCCATATGGTCCTCCTGGCATTCCAGAGGGAAGTCCACCAGGGTTGGGGTGACCATAGGGTCCGCCACTAGATGGTGGTCCATAAGGCCCTCCAGGGGCAGGGCCCCCGAAACCGCCACCGCCAGGGGGTACTCCGCTTCCATACTGGCCCCCGCCATGGGGGGCCCCAGGGTAGTAGCTACCCGGAGGGGCTCCGGGTGCTTGCCCTGCAGCTCCTGGGCAGCCCTGCAGAAAAAGCAAGATCTGTGAGAACGAGGGCCAGACCTGGCCTACAGTGGGGCACTCCAGTCACAATGCACCACCCTGCCACCCTTTCCTGGGAGCCTGGAGGCAGGGAACTTGAGGCTTCTGGAATCCATCGGACTGACCCACGGCCACACTGGCCAGGATCTGCCGAGCCAGAGCTAGAGGGCTACTTGCTGGACATGAAGGGGCCACATGACCTCGCCAGCACCTCAAGAACTGCTCAGTACGTACTCACTTTCCTATGAGCGAGCGGGCAAAGGAAAGCAGAGGATGGCGAGATCTCACCCTGGGGCCCGGCTCAGCAGCAGGAGCCACATGGCCCTGACCCTCACCTGTGCGATCGCAGCCCATCCTGGACCCACCCAGAACACATGGACCTGCCTGCCAGGTACAGTGCACGCGGCTCACCCACTCTGCTCTGTGGGGCGGAGCCTCAACACAACCGCAGCTTGGTGGCTAACTGGCCCAGTGCAAGTTCTGCTGCTCCTGAACCGGGCTTTCCCTGCCTCCCTCAGTCCCTTCTGCTGTAGGATGTGAGTGGTCACCCCCCCTCCCAGGCTCAGCTGCCACATGGTGATGTGAATGAAGCATTTTAACACAGGCCCTGGCAGTACACAGTAGCCGTCAGTGACCATCCCGGGTCAGGGCAGTCCCACACACTGCCGGGCGGGGGGGGGCGGGGCTGGCATTTGTACAGCAGAGCATACGTGGGGGGCATTCCTCTCTGAGCTCCCTATGACACCCCTGTGAGCCAGGCATCCCTGAAGCTCAGAGTGGCCAGTCCGGGCCCTGCAGAGGGCAGCCCCTCCCACCAGCCTGTGATCAGGGCTCCCAGCAAGCAGCGGGCCCGGCTCTGAGGCAGCACCTGCCAGATGTCTTCCTGAACAAGCTGCCAGGCACACCAGCAGCTGATATGGGCCCTCTTCTCCTAGTCGATAGCTTCTTTGGGAACAGTTAACCTCAAGGCTAAGGCCAAGTTCACACTTCAGTGAAAGGCAAGCCCACGGTTCCCGGCAAGACTCCTTCAGAGACTATGAAATCACAATGAGATCTCGGTTCAAAACCAGCTGTGGGCCGGGCCCTGGCTTAATCTCTCTGAAGCCATTTCCCCACAAGGAAAACATCATAGTCCCTTCTCGGGGTAGGCTTGTTCTACGGAATCTAAGAAATGCGTGCAGCAGACTTGGCTTAATTTAATTCTTAGCCAAAGAATCCTTTTGATAGGATAAATACAACGCACAAAGATAAGAGATAGTAGAATCCTGAGGGCCCCCCCCCAACCCCCCCGCCAGGACTCTGCAAAACCCTAGCAGTGACTCAGAGGACAATCTGAATGCCACGATGGTAAGAAAAGGGCAGGCATAAAGCAAACCGGCAGTAAACTGAGCGACTACTGTTAGCTGTGTGCTCAGATGACCGATGATCGGAGGCCCCAGGCCAGGGAACCTCTTGGGGTGAAGGGGGGATCCAGTAGCATGCCGCCCAGAAGGAGCTCTCAGATACAGGAGAAGCCTGGACACTGCGCTGCAGCATCAGCACACTGCCCAAGACACTGGTTTTTGCAATGGATACAGACGGGTGGGCGTGGGGCTGCGCAGGGAAGAGGTGGCATCAGGGCGGGTTTCTGTCACAGATGTTTGTGGAGGTGTGTGGGTAAAGGATCTCAGGTGGACCTAACCTCCTAGTCACCTAACCTCCTCATTTCACAGATGGGGAAACTAAGGCCCAGAGAAGGGAGTCCAGGTCACACTGTGAACTGGAGGCCATGATGGGGCAAGACCCCACTGGCACCCAGCCTCTATAATGACTCCCTACTGCCTCCTGCTCTAGGGCTGAGTTCCAGTGCAGGGGAGGGGAGAGGTGGGGCCTCTGCAGGGCAGGGCACACCCAGAGTACAAGCTGCACACCAGACCCGGAAGCAGCTGCTCCAGTCAACATTCCAAGCCCAGGCCAGGCCGAGGGCACTGGAGGCATGGTGGCCCTCCCACCAGCGTAGCACCCGGCACAGCCACGTTCTGGGGACCTGCTGGGTCTGGCACAGTCTGGCTGAGTTAGAGCCCCTAGGGCACATTTTACAGAGCACGTTCACACCCACAGGCAAGACTGCCCAATGCTGCTAACAAGCCCAGTGGGCCCATTTTTCAGATGAAGGCGCCGAGGTACTCGCTGCTAAGTGACTTCACTCAGTAAGCAGTTACAGAGCTGACAGTCCTGAGCCAGGCTCTGCATTAAGCCTGGGTGTGCAAGGCAAGTGGGGTCCGGGCAAGAAAGAGAAACAGGAAACACAGAGAAGGCGGAAGTGGTGGTACCTGGACAAGTTGAAACAAGATACTCATTTTGAATCGTTGATTGTAAAAAGTTAAAAAACAAGAGCAGACCTCAGTGGGAGCCTGCCCTTGAGGAGCCACAAGAAAAACCGAATCATGCTTGATGACGCTTGACGTCACAGGGAACCTACAGGACAGCAGAACGGCCTCTGTGGGCTTCTGAAGTGTCAAGCCTCATCGTTCTCCCACAGAGAAGCTGGTGGTTTCGAACTGCTGACCTTGTGGTTAGCAGCCCAACTCGTAACCACTATGCCACCATGCTCACAGAGTGTTTCCTTAATGAGCAAGCAGTCAAATGAACAAATGCATGCAGGGGCCACAGGGGGTTCCTGGAGAAGGTGGGGCAGTGACACGAGCTGGGCCTGGCGGCACAGCAGTCATTTCCCGAAAGGCAGGCGGCATGGGCATCCAGACAGAGGGACTTGAAGGCAAAGACCACTGAGTGGGCACAGTGTGGCAGGGAGTGGACTAAAGGGCCTGGCCCAGGGTGAGCCCAGAAAGCCCCTCTCCACATTCCTCAGCCAGACACAACACCACCACCCCTTCCAAGCCCACAGCAGGCTGGTGAGCCAGGGAGTGAGTTCTCAGTGTCTGTCTCTCCAGCGCCTCCACCTGACAGTGAGCCCGAGGAAGACACTGGCTTCATTCATCACAGCCCCCTGGGCCCAGCACTGTGCTTGGCACCTGCGAGCCCCCATCAATGTTTGAACAAACGAACACCACTCTGAAGAGTTTGGGCTTTATGCCGGAGGACACAGAGCACCATAGAAGTGTTCCCAATAGGGGAGGTACGTGCTCAGAACCCTGTTTAGAAAATTACCCAGAGGCCGTGCGGAGGCCGGGGGTCTGCGGGGGCGGCGGCAGCCCAGGTGCCGGACAGGCAGGGCTGAAACCAGACAGCAGACGTGGAGATGGAGAAGGGGATGAATCCTGAAGCTATTTCAGAGGTAGACTAGACATGACTTGGCGACTAATTAGATTGAGGAAGAGGCGGCGGCGGGGAGTGAGGAAAAGGAAGTGTACAGAGTGACTCAGGTTTATGGCTAGCACACGGAGGAGACGAGGAGGCGGAGCCACCCACGAAGGGACAGGCAGAGCCCCACTGGGGAGGCAGCCTGGGGTGCCGGCGGTCCGGTGCCCAGGGCTCGCACGTTGTAAGCAACCAGAACCGTTCCTCTATCCCACTCCACGCTGCCGACCATTTGCAGTTTTATTTCTACAAGTATTTCATGCTGATAACCACAGGAGGGCGACAAGGGTGAGGCTGGGGGTGGTGGTGGCAGCAACAGCCCAGTCACCCTGATTTTCCAAGCACTGCAGAGAAACCATCGCTAGGTGTTCAGCAAGGACCCTGGTGGCTCAGCGGTTAAGCCCACGGCTGGTAACGGAAAGGATGGCGATGTGAATGGCCCTCCCCTCGTGGTACCGGGGGAGCAAGGCCTGGTGATGGCAGTTCACAGCCTGGAAAACTCGAGGAGGCAGTTCTACTCTGTCACTTGGGGTGGCTGCGTCCACAGAAGCTCAAGGGCCCCTAACAATAGCCATCCTTTAACTGATTACAAACCAGCTCCGTTCAATATGCTTTGGGGGGGGGGGACGGGCCAGCAATGTCTATTGAGATTCTTCTGAGTGTTTCAACACAACTGGCTCATTGTCCTTAGTGCTGTGAGCCAGGGCTTTCCACCCCCATTCTACAGATGCCGGAATCACACTTATCACGCATTAGCAGCGTGGGCGCCTTGGAACTCCAAGCAGGGTCTGTGTAATTCAGATCTTATTATTTTCCACCGCGGCACTGGACCCAGGGTGAGCGCCACCATATCGGAAGAGGCCTGAACGACTCTCCGGCCCAACCAGCTGACGGTGGAATCCACGCAGGACCTCCTGGACTCTGCGTGTACCCTCCTGCAAGTGGTGGGAGCCCAGCCCCTCTTGCACAGCCCACTCAGAAAGTTGTTTTCTTTTGTCCCCGAGGGCTTTCTTCTACCCTCAAACCCTTTGTGTGTGAAGCTCAGAGTTGGTCCACGCAGTCTCAATGAGGCAGAGAAGAGGTGGCACTAGAGAGAGGAGCTGGTGTCCTGGGAGGCACCCCTGTCCCAAGTGCTGCCGGCTGGAGCCCCTGCTAATGGGTTAAACCATCTGGAGCACTTCTGGGCAGAGCTTCCTAAAATATTTAACAGCCAGACACCTGCAACCAATAAACAATGAGCCAAGAACTGTCCCAAGACTTCAATTACCACCTCTGTGCTGACACTCCAAAACTTCTCCAGCTCTCTTTCTCTTGAGCTGCAGACCCACACGGCCGTCCAAAGGCCGCCCAGGCCTTCCTGCCAAACCTATGCCTCCCTCTTTGGTCCCATCTGTGAGCGGGCACTCCTTCTACCCAGCCACCCATACCTAAACCCTAGGGTCCCCTTGGGCACCTCCTTTTCCTTCCCCTCCTTAATTAGGTTTTGCAATTCTAACTCCCAGGCGTCTCTCAAATCCACCTACTTCTCTCCAGCCTCGCTGGGTCACTGTTCTCTCTCACCTAGATTACTTCAGTAGCTTCCCACTTGGCCTCTCTGCTGCCATCCCTTCTCCACAGCGCCCCCAATACAAATGGGATAGTCCCCTTCAGTGCCCCCTCCTGCTCTTTGGCTGAAGTCCGCA